GAACACCCTGTATTACTAATTATGAATATAATTTTTTTAAAATGAAGTGTGATTTCGAATATTTCGAATATAAGCCGCACCCCAGTTTTCCTCTTGAATTTTTGGCAAAAAATGTGCGGCCTGTACATGCGTAAATACGGTAATTAATGCGACGCGTTGCACCGATAATGATCCCTATGAACATTTCAATAACTATACGTTTTCCTGCCTGATGATGGTCGTTTGTGACCGAAACATGTCGCAGTAAATAAAGATCTAATTGTAATACTGAAATATTTGTTGTATTGAGGGTAGCAGAGTTCTTACATACCATATATCGCATGATTATTGTCAGACCACTAGTGTCCACATTGACAGAGGCTACTTATCGCTTTGTTGGTTGATTCCCAAGCCTGCTGCCCTGTTGTTATTTGGTGGAATGCTACCGAAAGTAATTGAAGACTTCTTTCTTATGATATATAACACCGTGGAGTCTGCTTAAAGTCAACTCATGTTTCGTAGAAACTTTTCGCTTCCATCATCAGAGTTGAAGAATAATCGAGCAAGAAATCTGTATGGAACGGGTAGTAGTGGTGTCTTGTCTGGCTTATTCTTCGATCCCCAAGATGGAGTCGATATGTTCCCTCGAAACTTCTGTTGACTTTCAACGGACACGGCGTTATATCCCACAAGAGAGAACTGTTAATACCCACCGCTGTGAGAACTTTAAATTTTACTTGTACTTACGTGCTTCTTAGTGGTTGGCTGCATTGGGAAAAACGTAACCTGGATTATCAATCCGCAAAGCGAAAGTGTGAACCCGGTAGAAAATAAAACAAAAGAGCGGAGTCCGTACCAGACGGATAGGTGCTGGCTTTTCGCTGCATATCCCCTGGTTTAGTCCCGGATGGTTTCATGTGAGATTTCAGTTGAATTAATTAGCAATGGAGCAGTTTCACATCAGAGTTTCGTCTTTCTCATTGTAATCAGCAAGGCACGGATTTTGATGACATGTCATCTTTTTTTCCTTGTATGCGATGCTCTTAAATATATAAATCTCGGATATGAGCTACTGGTTACAGAAATGTAAATTTTATAGGTAATTTTTTGTCATTTTTTTGACATTTTTAGGTTTAAGGTCAATTTTTCATTTTGGGGGGTAATTTTTTGGTAAATTTATGCACTTTTAAGGGTATTTCTTGTCATTTTTAGCCATTTTAGGGAATTTTTCTTTATATGTTTTCTGAAATGTGAATATTATGGAGGCGAAGTGTTCTTTCGTTTCTCCTTTAGGTAATTTTTCTGGATTTTATAGGTCATTTTTTTTATATATTTTCAGGTCATCAAAATCCGGGCCCTGCATATTACATTTTTGGGTAATTTTTCTGGATTTTTCGGTCATTTTATAGGCCATTTTTAAAATATTTTTAGGTCATCAAAATCCGGGCCCTGGTAATGACCATTCAGCCATTGCTGCGTACTCATTTATCTCCGTCCACTGAAGTATGCGATAGTCTTGGCTAAGTAGCACATTATCAGAACTTCGGTCTTCAAGTATAGCACCTCATTTATCGACAGAGTAGAAGTTCGCGGTGAGAGATTTCGATCCCAGGTCAACTTATGTGGGATTTGTGGCGGACAAATTGATACCGATGCTTTGTTTTCTCATAGTACTTATTTTTCCCTGCAAATTCTCGTTCTACTGAATGCTCCACACTCGTCTGTCACCCGGGGAGGGTACAGTACACCCACTAGCGGCCGGACTGTCAAGTGGACTGAGTCTCACCTCAGTTCACGAATTAAAAAAATATACGAATACAAGTTTAAAAAAAAACAAAAGCACAGAACGGCCATTTAAATATTTAACAGCAAGTTCTGGGAAGCACTAATCGCGTTCTTTCCGAAAGTCAATGTTTGACAGTTACAGTTTTGTTTTTATGGGGCGCCCTCTCTGACGAGAGGACGAGTCTGTCTTTTGTATGTGCTGCTGGTCCTTGCCAGCGCAGTGTTTCTCGGATCTTAGTCCA